TTACCTTTAAATTTTATGTAATTTTAAAATTATTATATTTGTTTTTGACGATTAAATATATTAAATAGTAATAAAAGTAATAGTAATAAGAGTAAAGTTCATTTTTTGTTCTTAACGTATGTCATTTTTAATAGATATCGTTCTTCAACTTCGTTTTTTTGGATTTGGTCCCTCATGTTTGTCACTTCGTACCATTTTCACCCCTCCTACTAACGTCCATTAATATATTTAGTCATTTTAGTTTTTTTATGTCAAGTTCAATTAAATGATGGGTATTTTAGTCATTTTAGTTTTTTTAAACTAATTTTTTTTAAAAATAAGGGACCAAAATGTATACATTAGAACTTCAAGGGCCAAACATGAAACATATTCCAACTCCTCCTACCATATCACAGACTAAGGGTGCACGCAGGTTGGGTTGGACGGTTTACAACATTTTTACTACCCAACCCAATTATGGCGGTTTGGAAAAATCTCAACCCAACCCAACCCATTCAAAAGTTTAACCCAACCCAATCCATTCAAAAGTTTAACCCAACCCAACCCATTCAAAAGTATAACCCAACCCAACCCAACCCTTGCGGGTTGAGACGAGTTGGGTTGGCGGGTTAGTAGTTACATAAACTTGATGAATAAAATAATTTATAAAACTTAAGTTTATAGATCGTACTATAAAGCGTCCTATCTAAAATGGTTACAATAGGTTTACATGACGTTTTTTGACGTTTCAACAAGTATTTTAGAATGATCTTTAAATAAAATGTTGTATTAGATATTTTATATAAATATTTTGAGAAGTGTCCCTAAAACTCATCTATTTATAGGACACCTATGTTCATATACACTTTTCAAGTCGTGTCGTATAAAATAACTAATATGATACTTTATTTTAAAAGTGTCATAGAATTTGTTAGGACGCCCAAAATCATCCTATAAACATATTGTAACTCTTTTAGATAAGTCATTTTTCTTGTTTCATCCTATAAAGAATCATATTAGGATGCTTAGACATTTTAGGCATCCTATAAGATCTAATGTTGTTGTAGCGAAATGCTATACCTAAACATTTTATTTCTACTAAAGTACAACATCAAATGACGGGGTATTTAGATTGATGGATTCGTCAACAAAATATTTATTAGTATTCTCCGACATATCAATTTGTTGTTGCTGCAAAAAAGATTTCAATAATTTTCTCTTATTAATTAGATTATTTGTCATCTTTCTTTGATCGTAAATCTCTTTTGATAACCTATACGTTTAGCTAAAATGAAATACAAACATAATATCAATAAAAATTATACATTATTAATATACTAGAAGAGTACTCGCGCAATGCAGCGAGATACATCGTGTTTTTAATATTTTATTTTATTCTTTATCT